TATATATATATATATATATATATATATATATATATATATATATATATGTGTAGTGTGTGTGTGTGTGTGTGTGTGTGTGTGTGTGTGTGTGTACCCTTGCTCACTGTCCATTAAACGGTGCAAGGTCTATTTGTCGCTGCACTCTGCCTGACCCCGTTTCTGTCAATCAAAAATTATTCCGCTCCAGTTTTCAAATAGTTGCGCAATTATTGTCCACGACGTTTCGCAAACTTGGCAATAACGATTTTTTTTTCTGTAGTCATATCATATAACATTATTTTCAGTTTTTGGAAAAATTGCATTAAATTTTACATTTACACCCCTGCTTCTGGTAAGACAGGACGGAGTCTATGCTTGTTTAGTTCAGTGAATAGGTATGTTTCACCTCGGGTGACATACTCCACGAGCGGCTATGACCAAAGCTTGCTTTTGAATGAAGCACGTACATAAAGTACAGTGTTATATGATTGATGGTGCAAATGCTATTTTCGATACATCTAGGCAAACAATGATCATAGTGGAGCCATCATCATCTGTACAGCTGGGCTTGTCGTAATGGTATAAAATCAAGACGATACATGCTGGAGTCATTACATGGGTATTTGTAACCTCAAACAAGTAAAATCTGAGATTTTATACCTCCGGGCTTTTTATTGTATATTTTTATATAGGGTTTTAAACAAAGAATTTATCGAGACCGGACACCCCTCTGTGTGAGGGGTCATATACGTGGACCAGACCGAGAATAGCTTAAACACGCCAAAGGTCAACGGTCGTGACCACTTTCACGCTCAAAGGGGTGTTTTGGGGCCACCAAAAGGCACCATTTTAACGCCCGAAAACACATGTACAATAAAAACAAAACAACGTGCATCATCTGCAGTCCAATAGCAAAACATATACCGAGTCTCAAAAGAATCCGTCCACCCAAACGCGAGAAACAGCTGCAAACATGAAAATCTAAATCTCTCACAAAACCCTTCCGCGGAAAAATGTCTCCTCCCCCGGAGGTAATAAATATGTTGTTTCATTTATAAGTTATCTGCTATGCTATATCCATGTAGATTCCCGCATCAATATATGGATTGATATGAGAGTATGTACGAATGAATTTGTCTTACATTGTTCGTTCAGCCCTTGTCTGTAAATTTGAAAGTCCCATACAGTGTACTGTTATTTTTCACGTTGAAACATATAGTAATTACGGGAAGTAAAACTTCAACTGATCCGGTTTCTTCACCACGTGCTGCATCACTTCCCTGCACTTCTTCTTCGCGTCGTCAGGGGTCGCCCCGTACGTCCAAACCTTCGCAAACTCGATTTTACCAGGGAGAAACACCTCGTCGAAATACATGACCATAGTGATCTTGACGTCAGGGTCTTTCTTCAGGATTTCCAGCTCAGACTTGTTGACCATGTCTCCGACCTTCCCCGTGTAGCCGCCGCGGACTTGGAGAGGCAGGTTGAGAGCAGCCCGTCCCGTGGGTACAGGGGGGACGGGCCGGACCCCGCAGCACAGCCCGAGGAGCACCTGCAGCGGCAGCGGGCCCGACAGGCAGGCCGCGTACAGGCCGCTCAGGTTACCGGAAATACGGCCATTCACCTCAATCAGCTTGATCTGGGAGTAAAAAGTTCGTACAGTTAGACATTTTAATCATCTGAATGTAGCAGCAGCAACATCCGGCCGATGCATTGCCCCAATAGAGGGCCTTGCCCAGTATCCATGTAGATATAGAAGATAAGGTATGTGTGTGACGCATGACTGACATATCCGTGTGGGACGGGAAGAGGAAAGAGTACCTGTCCGTCGGCCAAGATGAAGTACTCCACATGTACGAACTGGTTGTTGAAGCCGTGGTCCACCATCCTGCCCACCACCTTGTCAAATCCGCCCCACAGTCGCCTCTGGACCGCGTCTGTAGGACATACAAAAGACATATGCCTAAAGGATGACAAAAAATATCAACATGGAACATGGAAATACTACTAACAGTTGAGACAGCACTATACAGGTTTTGCAGGATTCATCAACTGATGATGGTAAATTCAATGTAAAACGTAACTATAGAAAAAGTGTCCCTTATTATGAGAACATCTGTAGACTGTTGAAAATTGAAAACTAATCTGACCTGGTAGGGCAGAAGGCATGTAGCTTCCCTGGAAGGGGATGTCGTGTCCCGGCCAGTGGAGACTATCAGAGATGGCCCAGTGGATGATCTCTTTGTTGTAAACACATCCGTCCACATTCACCTGATGTTGGCATGCACATATACATTTTTAAAATCAGAAGTTCCCCTTTTTGACGTTTTGAACTATCGCAAACTTTCACGATGTTTCTTTGCTTATCATTACTTGACAGAAATGAAAAGAACAGTATCATTCTTTGTTATATTATACAGCCCCCGCATTCGGTTAAATTATGTCATAATAACTCTGTACAGCTTGGTGGAATAGTTACCTTTGCCGGTGCATCGATGTACGGCTCCACTATGATAGTGTTCCTCAAAACCATCGGGTAGTGATCCACATCCAGTACCTTCAGTATGAAGTCACGCATGAAGGTCGCGTTGCTGATGTGTTCATTCTATGTGAGAGAGAGGGCCATCGGAGATGATTCAGTGATGATAACTGTATATGTTGTACGATAATGCATTTTAAAATGTAACTGCCTAGTCACAACATTTTTCTTACAACTTTTCCAAACAGCTATATAGTTTTGTTTAAAAAAATGATCGGATAAATGTTTTGAGTCAATTGGTAACTGACCTGGGAGAAATGCCCCTCGTTAATACGTCCCATCTTTTCCAGTACATCCGTCAGCTGACTGGCGCTGCTGATCTTCCAAACGCCCTGAGAGGCATCGCCGCACGGAACCTAAAACAACAACAATCATAGAATATTACATTGTAGCCCACAAAAAATCTAAATTTGTAATCAAATTTTCAAATCTAGTTTGGGACTGATGATATCTACTGTAATAAAAATAAAGTAACAACAGATGCATGGCTTCTATACCTTTGCAAAGGCAGGAAGCTCCACCCTCTTTAACAGAGTCGCGGCATCTTCAGGAAGGGTCGGTGAGTCCAAGTCCAAGACGCCGTGAGCAGAAGACTCGGAGTCCGGGTCCAGACACTGGCTGGTGTACACCTTGTGATAGGCGAGAAACGACGACTCCACACTCGGCCCTTCGAGTTGATTCGGGAACTCTCGTGACAGAGCCGACTGCACGAGCGTAGCAACGTCAAAGAGTGCCAGAACCACATTGACGTGATTGTCGTCAATAACCTAGACGGACAACAATGAAAATAACAATACCAATTGAAATGGCGCTGAAAGAATAGCATGGATCAAAGTGCAATTTCAGTTTAATTCCATGAATACCGGTAACGCGTTTAGTTGATGTTGTATGAAATTTCAAGATGCATAAGTATATTAAATTAATAGAGACAAACACTGTATCAACTAAGTCAGAGTTGTCTCAAAAACAACGTAACTCAATAGGGTCAAAACTAAAGAAGTGTTACTAACTTGGTAACGTCTGGAAGAAGCTTAGGAAGAAAATAGTCTCCATGTGCTAATTATGTAGGAGTGTCACAAAGCTTCGAATTGTAAAACCTAGTGATACATGATTTGCCTGGTAGACAAGTGTCCGTCAAAGAGGGTAAACGATTACACGCAGACAACTCCACAATCAGAAAGCAAACAAAACTTACTCATGTCCAGATTTCTGTTAATCATAGAGCGAGGGGTCATCATCATCATCAGTACTTCTGAATTTGTCGTAATGTCTTAATCAAGGATCCTACCACTACAAAGTGTTAAAAGGCCTGGTTACGCCTGATAAAAAGGACATGCAGGGCCCCAATGACTTTAAGCTTACTTCTTTCAGTCGGTAAAAGTAGTCCAAGAGACTTTCACCCTCTTGAAGGTGGCTAAAGATGACCTTCCCAACTGGGATTCCCTTACAAGACCGAAGCAGGTTTTCTGTAGTGCTGTAATCCACAGCTTTTTTACAGAACGGCACGAGGATGGTCACGGGTTGCTTGTTAGCGTAAGCAATGCCCATTGTCTGGGAACCCATTGTCTGTTGTCACCACAAACCCTGGAGTGAACTAGACAGCGTTCCTACTGGTCTCATACGCGTTCTCGTTGTGTACTACCGGTTCTACCAGTATGCAAAGTGTATTCAAAGAGGCGAGACCCGATCTCTTGATGATGACAACGGCTGTACCAACTAGTTTAAAGTTGTAGGCTAAAAACGATGTAACTCAATCGAGTCAAAACTAAATGTGTGTTGCTAACTTGGCAACGTCTGGAAGAACCTTAGGAAGGAAACGTGACACATAAACACACACAAACACACATCAAATTGGACGAAACAGACAACCTGGACCCTAAATGCTGTCATTTTGCCATACACACACATATATATATATATATATGTACCCTAGCTCACTGTCCATTAAACGGTGCAAGGTCTATTTGTCGCTGCACTCTGCCTGACCCCTTTTCTGTCAATCAAAAATTGTTCCGCTCCAGTTTTCAGATCATTGCGCAATTGTTGTTCACGTGGTTTTGCAATCTTGGCAATAACGATTTTTTCTGTAGTCATATTATAATAATAATAATAATAATAAATGGTTTTTATTGTCCAAACAGTACCCGTACAGTCGCAGCCTTAATACGGCTGAATTGATGCAGGGTATCACATAATAATCAATACAAATCACAACAATTACAACAATCAAATAATACAAATGATACACATATATTTGTTCCACAATTATTTTTGTGGAACTGTCGCAAGGGTCTGTGCGGCTGCCATTCGGCGCCACAAGGTGACCTCAATACGACTTTCCCCAACCGAAGTTAGGTACCCATTCACACCTGGGTGGAGTGAGGAAATTTGTGTAAAGTGCCTTTCCCAAGGGCACAACGTCGGGGTGCATGTTCAGACATGTCCCGGGTACGACTCGGAATCGAACCCGGGTCTCCCGGTTCACAGTCTATTGCTCTAACCACTACACCACCCGACGCCACCCGTACCCGTAAATTTAATGTAATTTTTCTAAAAAGTGAAAATAATGTAATATAATATTACACTCTAACCACTA